CGGGGGAACCTGCTCCAGGAAGGGAGGCGAAGCCCGCGGAGGCAGAGCAGCCTTGCTGCGGAGCCGCTCAGGCCAAGCCGCTCCCCCTTTAGCAGGCAATAGGGTGGTGGGTTTGTCCGCCAGCCACACGTCCGGCTCCTGGGGAGCCTCACCACGATGAGAAAAGGAGCACGGGGTGACTGTGGTCCCCCGAAGCTCGTAATCGCCTTGCACACACGCACACAAACACGTGCGCCCACCGCTATCACGCTTGGTGAATCGCTTCCTCTAATAAACCGTGTTGCTTACTTGCTCGGCAGCTCCTGGAGCTCAGGAAAGAGGTTCTGGACCGGCTGTTCCTCAAACTGGTGCAAGCCTTCGTTCTGCACAGGAGGAAGCAGGGCGGCGGCAGTGAGCAAACTCACGTCCGTCACCTTCAGCCTCCTGCCCTCGCGCACTTCGGAGGCGGCAGAGGGCTCCGGCTCTGCCCTGCCTTCCCCCAGGCCCATCCCTGCCGGGGCAAACGCCCTCTGTGTGCCCAGCACTGAAATTTCGCGGGCGGCATGGGCTGCCCGGGGCTCACAGGTGTCTCCGGCAGGGAAAACCCAAAATACCGTGTGGGCTCAGTACCTCCTCTCACCTCCTTGTACAGGTGGATGCAGGGGTCGTTCCCGCTCAGCAGAAAGACGGTCTCTGGCTTGTCCCCGACACAGACCCTGCGAGGACAGACAAGAGGGTTACCCGAGAAACAGCCCAGTGAGCCACGGGGAAGAAGCCGCGCGGCAGGAGGCTGCAGCGAGCGAGGTCACAGCTGGGACAGAGAAAGCCGCAGCCCCCTCGTAGGGACACGGCTCCGAGAGGCGCCGCATGCTTGCGGGCTCCGCTGGGATTCATGCATCCTGGGACGAGGTCGGGCACGAGCAGAGACAACTCCCCGCAGCGGGGCGAACAGCAGCAACGCAAGCGCGGCAGAGGGAGAGGCCTTCGGCGCCAGGAACGGCAGGGAGAGCTCGGACGGAGGGAGCGACCCTGCCCGAAACAACACCGGG